GTGGTACGGCACATTCTGCCCCTTCTTGCCAACGGGCCACTCCGCCCACGCTCCCCGGAACTTCACGCCCTTCTCCGTGCTGGTCACTTTTCCCCCCGTTATTTTCGTTGTTGTGGCGTTCACCCCGAGGTACTCGTCCCTCCACGTGCTGTCAGTTGACGTGCTGGATAAGAAGCCAACCAGCCCTTTCGTGAGGTCACCAACAACACCACATTCCCGGCGCTTCTTACCATTGCTTTCGACCGTGCAGCCGTATTCTTTCACAATGTACGCGTCCTTCTCCTTCCAAGCAGCCAACACCTTCCTCATGTCCTCCAATTTCTCCGTCAAGTCCAGAAAAGCAATGTTGTACTTACCGTCCTCTGCAGCAGCAACCTCGTAAGAGCAGCACAGTCTTCCCTCTACTTCCTTCGATTCTCCCTCCTCCAATGACGGCACTTCGTCAGCGGCGTACAGCAGAGTGCTGGCGGTGACGTTCTCATTTTCAGCGGATATCGGCCCAACATCATAAATGCGCTGCATGTCCGTCAGCCACAAGTGAAGTCGGCCCGTTTCTTTTCCCGCCTCCCCGGAATATACCGGCCGGTTGACGAGGATGACTCTCTGTCCATCGATCCTCGCGCTGACAAAGCCACCCTGCACGCCGTGCCCTGTACGATTCAGCGAATTGCCCCACACGCGTGAAAGAGTGCCGTATTCCTCCATCCACCATCTCTCCATGGCGCTTGACCAGTAAACCCTGCGGCTGCCGTCGTCACACGACGTCATCATGACGAGATCGCCGTCCTCCCATTCAAGAACCGCAGGCTGGATGCAGCCATCATCACTCGTGGCATTTGAGAACTCCCAATCAAAAGAAGATTTTTCTGCGAGGACAACCAAAGAAACTTTCTTTCCATCATGCTTCAATGCTTGAATAGGCAGCGCATAGCGACTGTCGTCCTCCATCCTAATGCCTGCGCCACCACCACCCAGAAATTGTTTGTATGGTTCTGCATTGGCTTTGAAGTTTTTAGAAGGCCAGGAAAAAATTTCGAGGTGGTACCTTGATCCCATCCAAACTCCTTTTCCTCACCACCCCGCCAACAAAAATCTGACCACTCGCGTACCTGGACGTCCAATATTTACCATCACCGACCAACTCCGTCAATGGATCCCCTGACTTGCCGTGGCCCCCAAGAACAGCCTCTATCTCTCCATTGTCCACAATAGAAGTTGGGCTCAACAGGCGGCAAACTTTTATGTCGTAATGATCAAACACAATGGCAGTTCCATTCGCCCATTTCTTTTCATTCACCGTCATCGACTTTGCAACAAGGCCAACATACAGTTCTTTATCCGTGGAGTTTGTGTAATGCGCTTCAACTATGGCCACTACACGACCATTCACGACAAGAAGAGAAGGTGCACGGAAAGAATCAAACGCTTGTGACATACTTTTGTTCTCCGAATCATCAAACGAATCCCCTTTCCTAAACAGCGTCGTCATTAAATTATTCTCCTGAGCGGCCTCAGCTTCCCAGCTGCCGCAGCACTTCATCACAACGAGGAGCAGCACCGCAGAGTAGAAGAGATGCCGGAACATGTTGGGCCTCTGCGGTTCACTCTCTCCTCCTTCCCTCCTCATGCCGCTGGATCCGGTCACGCGGCGACGGTTGTGTGTGCGGGGTGCCTTCACTGCAGCAACACGTGAGAGCATATAAATATGTGTGTGTGGGCGGTGTGTGTGCTGTTGGTCCTTTCAGCGCCTTCAAAGTTCACAGTGGCGATCCGCTCTTGGTCGTAGCTTCCTTCCTAGCCTGAGTGTGTTTGTGTGCAAGAAATAAAATTAAAATCTAAAAAGCATCAAAACAGGATGTGGCAAAGAAGTGGGTGGCGCCACCAGCCACGGCGTAACACATCCGCTTCGTCGCAACCGCCACAGTAATTACCCTCACCGTCCACAACGGACCAAAAAATGTGAGGCCACACACAGAAGCAGAGAAGTTGACGGTTGCGCACGGGCCAAGACGCCCTCCGGCAAACGGCACCAACCAACAGACAGAGAGGAGAAATTAAAGGCAAGCAGAATCCCAAGTGCTGCGGGATCCTTGCAAGCACCGCTCCCTCACTGTAGAACCTTTAAAGCGTTCCTCGCTGCAACATCCCCCACCACCCCTCGACGTGTCGGTGGATTTTCCCGTTCACCGGAAGAAAAACGGCGGGATGCTCCGGCAGTGGTCGAAGACACACAGAGCGCGCCGTCGACGCGATCAACGGGCGCAGACACTCGTGAAGTGCGATCCCACAACCGCGATCCCTCCATCTACTCTCCTGGACGTGGAGGAGGCACGAAATGTCCTCCTCTCTACAGTAGTCCTGAAACGCAAAAAAAATCCGCAGGAAATCCCGTGCAGCCACGGCCTCCTCAGCAGCCCGACAGTCCACGCCGCCGAACCGCTCCTCAAGAGGTCGCCAGGCCCGGTAAGGCAAGCAAAAGGGGACCAGCAATTTGGTCAGGGCGTTCAGCAAAGTGAGGCGCAGCAGTCGGGTAGGCGCGGCCCATCCACGTCCTCCCCTCAACGGACCCACCACACAGTCGAATCACACACCCGAAAAGAGCCGTGGCGTCTAACGAAATAGCATGGTCAATAGCACCTCGTGCTCTCCTCAATGAAGTGTCATGGCACACACGAGGCATCACAGGAAGGGCAAATAGTTGCATTCCATCGGCACAAGCACGGAAATAAAGCGCGCATTCTGCCCCTGTGAACTTCAATCCAAATCGTCTCGGCCACTGAGTTTGTGTCGCCGACCCTCAGGAAGGGCTGATGCATCAATTGCCGCTGAACGATCCCCGGCGATGAAACAAAAAGTGCCACCGTCTCTCGAGGTTATTCCCCACCCATTTCTCCCATTGAGGGAAGGGAACGCAATGTAACGGTGTGGGCGTGTCTAGCCGACAGAAATGAAGGAATTGACTCCAGCCGCGGAACAAATTGGACGGATCCTCCTCCCGAATCCTTCAAAGGGACCGGTCAGCTGCCGAGGTTGACGGCGCGGAGGACAACACCTTGAATGTATGGAGCACCGCAGCAACCTGAATATATTCTGCAATATCCGCGGCCAGTTCATGAAAGTACAAAGAAGGGACAGCAAATTCAAAGGGGCGTGTGAACCCGTCAGTGATCACCCGCGCCGGAGGATCGCCACCCCACCCTCCAAGGGCACCTCAACGACGTCAAATATTTTCACCGCACGGCACCCACAACACAATCGCGTGGCATAATGCATCGCCTTGCAGCACCCCATGCAATGCGGCAATCGAAAACCGTCTCGAACACGGCGTGCGAAAAAGGTACTGAAAGAAGGCGCAGCAAATACCCTCCACATCTCAGCAGCTCCAATCATCCAGTAAAAGGCAGGAGCACCAGACAGTACCCACGGACTCACCGAATATGGCATCAAAAGCAGCGAGACGCCAGATGCCGAAAGGTCCGCATTTCTTTCCCACGGCACTTCCACAAATGAATGCAAATGCCGTGCCCTGCGGCCTCTCGACCGCTTCGAGACAACGTTGCGGCCACATGGCGACGGCTCAATGTGGCTGGCGATCAGATCCAGTCGTCGCGGCAAAACAGTACAGAGAGTAGGGTGGTGAGCCCGCACATTCGCCCCTTTGGTGCCTGCTTCCACTGCAAGAGTGAAACTCGTCTTCCCAACAGCCGCGCTTCGGGTGGCTGAAACACCTGCCCTCACACCGGCGATGACATCTGCAAGCGCCTGTAATTCCTCAACACCGCCCGTCAGAAAAAACCAACGGCGCTCAAGCCCTGCAGCCACGCATCCCTCGTAACCATTTGCAAACTCGTTGTCCTGCAGAAACGCCTAAAAATAAATAACAAGAAGGCCGTTCATTGCTGTGAAAGGACAAGAGCACGTTACCTTCATCCTGCAACGGAGGATTATGCCTCCTGCGTAACGCGGCCACAAGTACGCGGTGCACCAACACCGAAGCGGTGGGCATGTTGCCCCATGACCCTCCCCCTCCACAGGGGCCCAAGAGGTGCAACAGACCATCCTCTCACCAAAGAAAAAGCCCAATGGAGCGGGCACTACATTGTGCGGACCACACAACAGAAACACCCTCAGGGAACGAATGCTCTTGAATGCCCTTCAGAAGGGGCCAGCGGGTTGGCCGTGAAGCCAACAAACACCGGAGAGCCGCCTGCCCTGCACGCATCCAATGACGCAATCGAGCGCGCAATCTTACAGGGCACATCAACCAGCCTGTTCTCGTCTCCGTCTGTGCGGGCACAACAGTCCTGCCATCATCCTTCGCCCTCACAAAGTATTCCACAGGGTCCTTTGAGCCAGAGACCACCACACGGCGATATGCCACCGGAGGAGTACTCTCCATACCGCACAAAATAAAATGCTCCCACGTCGAGGACCGCAGTGAAAACGAGCATAACGATGAGCAACACGAGGGTTGTCTGTGCCCTGACTCATCACAACACTCTGTCCTCCGTTGGTTCAGGCCTCTGCCACACGACGAGGCACAGATGTAACATCACTTACACGCAACAGAGTGAAATCCGCAAGAACATCGTCAGAGTCATGCAGGACGCAACAACCACCAGCCCACTCAGCAGCTGTTGTGGCAATATTCCGCGAAACACGATCCACGTCCACAGAGAACTTGTTGTCTAGTTGCACAAACAATTGATGGGCCAAGCAACGTGGGCCCATGAGCGACAACGCCAGTCGATATTAGGCCTTGGAGCCGCCAGTGAGAGCCATTGATTGGAACAAACACCAAAGCCACCAACGGCCAAAAAGAACTGCGACAAGGCATTAGTGCTTCAATCAAAGAACGGATTAGTGTCGTCCAGGAAGAAGAAAGAATAAATAATATTTT